AAATAAAAGCACTTTATTGAATACTTTTGGGAAACCAAGCCCATCATCCTGTTTTTTTTTCTTTGGATGATGAGTTTTATTATCATAAAATACTTAATATAAATTAAAGAGTGATTTTATTAGAATTTAAATATTGGAGTTTAATTCATTATTTATAAATTCATTTAGTTTTTCAGATCTATTTATTGAAATATTCTTTGTTGTTCTAAATACTTAAAAGTAGCATTTTTAAACAAGTTATAAAATTAAGATGTAGTTTACAGATTAATAGATAGATAATTATACATATATGAAATACAGGCAAATAATATCAGCAAAACTAGATAAAAAGTTGAAAGAATTTTCAATTTTTCTCATAATTCCTTTTAATGTGGATAAAAAGTTATCATTAATAATAAGAATAAAATATTTATAATGTTTATAACAGAAAATTTGATTATTTAAATACAGAAGAAGTATGTGTAAATAAAATATTGTGACCGTAGGGTCGGCACCTCTTCGGCGCCCTGTCAGGATGAAACCACCGAGTCTCTAGGGGACTCGAAAATCGCGACTTTATGTCACGAGATTCGCGAGCGGTAGCGTGTGAGCGCTTGGATTCGGAGTAGAGGTGAGGAGAGAGACGAGGAAGTGACTCACTCGGACTCCATATTTTCTAACAAAAAATCAATTTTAATAATAAACAAAGAAAATACAGAGATCGGCATATTAGCGGACTTAATTATACTATTCCGTTCGAGAGAGAGAGTTTACAACCGAATCGCGGGTTGATAAATACCTTTCTTTTTCCTAGGTCGCAGATCTGTAGTATGATGACACTCTTGACTCCTCTGAAATGGTCTTTCCACTAGTTCTTGTCCGTTAATTGGATCTCGGAGGTGTGGAAGCACGGAAGTGGGGTGAGATTCTTAAGGAGACACGGTGTTACTTCTGTCAAGGTGTTATTTCGGAATTTTGATGCACGGGTTTTATCCTGGGTTGCGGTTTTAATCCTGGGCACGGTTTGAATCCTGGATCACGGTTTTAATCCTCGGATGACGACTTCTGTAGAGGGACTTCGGATGACGACTTTTGTAGAGGGACTTCGGATGACGACTGACTTCGGGGTCGTTTTTCTTTTTCCCTTTTTCATTCCTCTTGGGTTTTTTCCATGAGGTCAGGTGATGGCCTTTAACGGTCGCCCGTCCAATATGTCTTTTCCATTCAAAGTTCCTGGTGACACATCCCTGACTAACTTGATCCGACTCAACAAGGAACAAACCCCGTGGGAAATAATTTTTATGGCTTTTAGCCTAACTCGATAAAATGTTCGAATTTAACCGATTATATTTTCCAAATCTTAAAATTTAAAATAACACTTTATTGGGGGTCTGTTCGTCCCTCACAATATGATTCAAGAAGTTGAATTTGAGTTTTTAAGCTGAAGGATTTTCTCAATATTTTTTAATCTAAAATTTAAACTTTATTTCAGTTCACCCCTTCTTTTAGGTTTAAAAATACATTACAAAATATGAAATTTAATCTTTCACTACAACCAGGACTGTGGAGTCGCATAAAAATCTACTGACTCCAACTCTGACTCCGACTTTTCCTTACCATCCGACTCCGACTAAAACACCAAAACTCCATGACTCCGACTCCACAGCCCTGACTACAACAAAGCAATATTTATTGAAGAATATTCAAATGAACAAAGCAGAACAAACAGAAATATAATAGTGATGCATATAATGAATAACTGATATATAAACCAATTAAAACAGAAATATCAACAAATACATACATGTATGTTACAGTCAATGGTAATGGCATGAAACAAAAACTGACATGAATGACCAAAGTAACATAACAATGTCTTTGACATCATTGTCTAAACACATTACAGATTCACATCTTTCACCAGCTATGTTCTTTTCAGTAAGTATTGTCAACAATGGCTGCATTCAGCAGAATCAATCATTGTGACTGAGCAAAGGTGTTTCAATTGGTAGTTGTTGCATAAGAATATGAATCTGCTGAATAATAAGTGAACAGGAAGCAGCCATCATTGATCAGTTGCAACTAGCAAATGAAATATACTACTAACTGTGATGTCAAAACACCAAATATGTTCCAAAACAGCACTACTGTAGAGGGCATCAAAAGTGCTTAACATGGCCTTGTGTAATAAATAGTTCAGGATGTAATTTCCCATCTCTCACTCATGCTAGATGATATCATAAATACTCAATATCTCCAGAATTGTTGAGTCTGCTAAATGCAGCCAATGGTTGGGCATTAACCTGAATGGTAGTCAATCATTGGTCATTGTTGAATATCAATATGGTAAACATTTTTATGGTTCATTTTGTTCTAAAGCATTGCAGAACTATGTAATCAAGGACATTTATTTAGTTATGTAACACAGACATACAATAATTTTTGCAAACGTCCTGGGTCCCAATATTTAAAAGTGAATAAATGTGTAAAGTAGTGAGTGACCTTTTAGCAGAGTGGGGACAAAAGAGGCACAACCTTGTCAACTGGACCCATGTGCGGTCGGGTAATACCACTTGTAAAGTATTGACTTGTAAACAAGGGAAAACAAAGGAAGCACCAGCTTTGTTAATTGGACCCACCTGCAGTCATTTGCCATATTGTAAACAAACGAACATAAACAAGTGGCGGACGTTTGTGTAAGCTTCACTCTCGTCGGATGACAGTGGACCCAAGTGTAAGCTGTTCGGGCATAAATAAGGGTTGTGATTGGTCGGAAGTCCCCGTTCCAAAAACCCTTAAATTGCGGGGCGAACGAGAGAGGAGGGGAGAAGGGCAAGAGACTGATACACGGTAGTCTCAGGCACTATGGAAGCCCACTGAGCATAGAGAGAGTGTTCTCCTCTGATAATCATCTCAGGGACGGGTTAGTGCAGAGACCGGACCGACTGTGCAGTTGAGCCAACTCCACAAGCTGACTGAGGTCTCTCCAAAGGTTATTAGTTCCCAGACGCCAATCTGGCACGCAAATCACCACGTATGGTTATCCTGTACATATACTATGTTTTCTAACTTGTACTTTCTACAACTGTAAATAAACTGTAAATATATTCAATTTGAGTGCGGAGGTGTGCTTTCCAACGAACCTGATTCACTACACCGAGTCGTGATACACAGGAAACTAACTCAACGAGGCGGAGTTGGGAAAGAACAGCAATAAGATCTTCACTAAATGCAAGCTTAAATAACTTTTCTACTTCTCAAATAAGATGGTATAAGCTTATGTGATAAATAAATAAAGTCTATTTATTAAAACATAATAACAAAAATTAAAATAAGGTTACAGTCCTTCCAACTTATTCGGCAGTTGTCAAAACAGACTAAACCACTTTTCACTCATACAAAGATAGACATATAAGAAAAAATAGGCAGAACAGAGAAATGGGTATCAAGTTAATTATTTTTAGGTGTTTTGTGAAGTAGAATTAATAAGAGCATAAAAGGTTTTTTTAAATAACAAAAAGCCATTTTTTAAACTAAAATATAAAATCATCAGAAAATATCTTCATTTTATTTCTAAACTTTATACTTATAAAAAAAATGTTGAACATGAAAAAACTGTTAATTAATATTAATATTTATTTATTCTTAAATGCTAATAATATGTACAAATTAATAAATAATTTCTTACTGTATGTATTTACAAAAATATATTTAATACTGTATATATAATACATTTAAATTATGATTTTAAAATGCATTAATCTTCAGCAGATTTGGTTTCCATTATAATCTAATATCTTCATTCAGATAACAGTGGATGTAATTCAGATACAACTGAATCAAATTCATATATGATATGAAATATAAACTTATATGAAATTTTTTTAAAGAAACTGTTGTGCCATTTGTGCTTTTACTAACTCTACTTCACTAACAACTGAAAATAATAGTTGAAAGGCCAATGCATTACATTAAGTACAATGGCTGCCATGACAGTTCACATCATTACCGGGCAAGCACCAAGCAGTACTGGGAAATTATTGTTTTAACATATTGCCAATGTTGCATACTAGAGTGGTGATTAACATCCCTGCTCTGTCTATTTGTATCACACACACAACACAGTATACAAAAATGACTGGCTATTCACATGATTTAGCACACACACATCTTTGACTGTAACATACGTATGCACAGCTAACTAAATTATATATACAAAATTGATAAATAATTTTGTATATATATATATATATATTGTTTATAATTTATAATAAATAATTTAATCTTGTTTATATAGACACCAGCAACATAAAAGTCTTTCTGATTATTTTAATAATGGTCATTTGTGATTCTTTATATTAGTCTAAATACAGTATAATAAAGAAAATGTGACCATTTTTCTCTATTTGATTTGAAAACAGACATTTAGTTCTGCTAGTTGGTTTGTTTATGAAATATTTTTATTTTTTATATAAAACATAAAAAATAAAAATATTTCATTATATAGAACTTGAAATTACAAGTAAGAAAAACTGTGCAATAGTATATATTCTGTAAAATGGTTTAAATTAATATGAAATCCAAAGCATATGGTCCAGTTATTAGTGCTTGCTGGAATTTAAGTTCACTCAATTAATAATGCATTATAATGATGCAATAACTTTCATTAGTAATATTGTATCAATCATTTAGTAATACATTTGCAAATATAAAATCCTTTTTAGTTGATTTGGATATTTCTTTCTAAATAATATTATGTCTTAATATATGTATGATAAAATTTATATTTCATATGTATCATAATTATTTATTTTATTATTCTGAAAGAGTAAAGTAAGTTTTCTATTCTATGAAAATATATTAACTAATAATAGTTTATAAAATATTAAAAAAATTGAAAATTTAATGTTGTGTTGCACTTTAGTAACTATTTGATTTGGTTAAATTAATGTTTAATTCAAACAATATTCTAACTATAAAATAAGGAACAAAATAAAAGCATAATTAAATACATTTATTAAAAAATATAAATATAAAAATATGTATATAACAATCAAAATATATGTACAGTACATCATCATTGCTTTCACTTTAAAGAGATGTATAAATTCAATAGTTTCATTAATAATCATTCTATTTTGTAAACTTTTGCTAAGAAAATTTTTATTTAGGCTATATTAGTAAGCTGTTTACTTGCAATTGTTATATTTATCGTTTATATTTCTAATTTGCTAAATGCTATAACTATTGCATCTTTTTCTGATAAAGTTTCATTACAAATGTCAACTAATATTTTATGTTTGAAAATCTTTGCTAAACAGACATTTTTTTCCTTATGACATAAAAATAACTTAATTAGAACACATACAGTATTTGTATTTGTGGATAATTTTGTTGGTTTCAAAATAAAAGTGAGTGGTTCAAATAAGCTGTCAATATTTCCATTGTCTTCACCATCAACTTTAAGAGAATCATCTGTAAAAATTAAACTGTATTAATTATATAAAAATAATTCATTTTAAAAATATTATTATTATTAACTGCAATATTATAATAATGCTTTTCCACATTTTTCAATTATAGATTAACTATTTACATGAAATATTATTAGAATGTTTTCTGAACTTTATACACCAATGCCTAAAATTCTAAACAACCTTCTTACTAAATCATAAAATTCGACATTAAATAAGTATTTCCAACACTTAAAAATCATGAATTAAAAGTATAATAAAGTATTTAATTAAAATATTATTCAATCGTTTTATTCTAATTATAATTATAAAATAAGAGCACAGATATACTATATCAAAATGAAGTAAACCATTAATTTGTGCTTTCATTTCTATAGCTTGCTAAATATAAATACTGGTATTTATTTCACTTTTTAAGGGTGCATTATGTAACACAGATTTTATAAATTATTTCATTTATTTTAAATTACTGATTTTCATTTTTATTAATAGCCCAAAGTAAGTTAATAAATTATTTTGAACTAAAAACTAATTTATATAATTTATTAGCTAAATATATCTCTCCATAGTTTATACACAATATTATTACTTCATTAATAGAATAATAAATGTTTAATACTCAAAAATACAATCATTTACCTGAAAATTGGTTAAGTAAAATATAGGAAAGATTATTTAAAAACATTTTATAACATATCAAAATGATAGGGACATAGAGGTAACTCTGTATAACACGGGAGTTATGTTCCAAAAAATTGCCGTGCTATGCGAATCTGTGCTATACAAAACAAAGAACTAGTACGAAAAGGTGGGTTAAGTTCCAAAACTTAAAAAACATGCTATTATATTTTCATAATTAAGATAAATATCTTTATTAAAATTTTCTTAAGAAGTGTTTCATATTAATATAAATTAAACAATGTTTTCTTCATCTTCACTAAACACTATTAACTGAAGACATTCTCTTTTTGGCAAGATATCCTTATCCTCTGAGCATTTTTCTGCATATTCTTCAGATACATGCTCTACCTTTTGCAAAAAATATGTTATTTTAGATTGCTTGCTTTTAGTTAAAAGATCTTTATAAATTTCCTTATATGGTGTTAAGCACTTACAAAGTTCTCTTTTAAACTTTGTGCTCCTTTCATTTGAAGGATCTTCATTTAAGAAACATGACTAACTGTTCGGCTAAGCATAGGCCTTTCTTTATGCTTTGTAGAATAAACATTTTAACTTCTTTGTCTTCACCTGTGCTATCATCCTCTGAGTTATCATGGATTCCAGATATCATTTCTACCAAACCTGCTTCATCAATTTCTTCTTCCACCAGTAATTCTTGGATATCTTGTGCAGTCATATCATCAAAACCTTCCCCTCCTAGAGACTTAGCAATTTCTACAAGTGCATCCATTCTGTTTTCTGCTGTCTCGATCAAATTTTTACTTTGAATTGACTCTGGCCATATTTTTTTTTCAACAATTATTTAATGTCGTCGGTTTTATTTCTCTGATGGATGAGTTTATTAGATTAATGCAGTCCAAAATTGTGAAGAGTTTCCACGCCTCCTTGACGTCCATAGATTCATCATCGATTTTGTTCAAAACGCATTGTAATGATTTCCTTATGCAATTGGTTTTAAATGTAGCTATAATTCAATGATCTAATGGTTGAAGTAAAGCAGTTGTATTTGGAGGTAAAAAAATTATTTTGATATTTGGGCAATTTAAATCTTGCGGATGGCTGGGTGCATTATCCAATATAAGTAGAACTTTAAAATCTAAATTTTTTTGTTTTAAGTAGTTTTCCACACTTGGTACAAAACAGTTTAAAAATCATTTGTTAAATAATTCAGTAGTCACCCAAGCTTTTTTATTAACTGCCCAGTATACCAGTAAATTACTCTTATTTAGGTTTTTCATTTAATATACCTGCAAGTATATTAAATAAAACAAAAATTTTTTGATCTGTGAAACTCTGTAGCATTATCTGTAAAGCCAGTATAATAAGTCCTGATAACAGAAAATACATACTTGTAGACGAAAATTTATATTATAATATTACATGGTATTTTGATACATTGAAGCCTGGAGCAACTTTTTCATCTTTAAAAATATATGTCCTCTTGGACATATCAAAGACATATATTTTTCCACTAGTGAGACTGCTCATTAGTGGAAAAACCTAGTGTGTTGAATATCCACCCTCTTCAATAATTCTTTTTAATTCCATTGGATAAATTTCAGCAGCTTCTTTATCGGCTGATACATTTTCATCCTCTATTTTCAGGTTTTCTAGTGATAGGCATTTTCTCATATGATCAAACCACCCTTTGCTGGCTACAAAATCTGGATTAGTAGCAGTTTCTCCATTTTCCTTCTAGTAGTCATAAATTTTCAAGGCTTGTGTTTAATAATATTGGTGCTTAGTGGAATCTGCTTTTTTGAACAGTCTTCAATCCAGATGCTAAGGGCTTTTTCCATTTGCTCAATTATTGATGTCCTAGGATGAGATGTCATGTTTGAGGAGATAGAACAGCCTGCAGCAACAGAACCTCTAATTTTCTGTTCATTTTTCCTTTTAGTCCGTATTGTCGCTTCATTTAAAAACAACAATTTGGTGACATATATCTTTTCACCCTTTTTGAGCCGATCTAAAATTTGTAATTTTGTTTGTATGGAGATGAAATGTCTTTTAAGAGACATTTTTTTATTTTTGCCAGCCATAGCTTACAGCTATAGATTCATAAAAATAAAAACATAATTAGTATTTCTTTAAAAAAGGTTGAGTACAGTACTATAGTACTTACCCAAAAATTTTTAATCTACGAAGCCAAAAAAGAGACACAATTAAAGTCTTAAAGTATACTTGTAAAGGTGTGGATTGTCCCAAGGGTCGGAGGCATGGTTCAATGCCTAAAAACTGGTGACAGAATAAAGCAAGAATGGAATAAGGGAAAAACATCTGGCAACACCAAAAGCAGAAGTGTTGAGATCTGGCAAGACTGAAACAAGTTTTGAGAAGGACCATGTGTGTTGACAGAAGGTGGAAAAGAAAATTTATATACTTAAGTACTAATAGTTCATGAAAATTATGCAGGAAAATCTGATAGTATGTTAAATGTGAACGGGATTGGCCTTCACACCGATCAATAGATATGCAAGAAACGAAAAAATTATCATTCAGGCGTTAAACTACGAATAATTATCGATATAAATTACTAGCGCTTTCGACAAAACTATTTTCATCCTCTTCAGGTAAATAAAAATGGTTAATATTCTTTTTTTGAATAAAGATTCTGAATTATTCTAACGGCAAAAAGCTTTGGAATATAACCAAAGCTTTATTAACCATTTTTATCTGCCTGAAGAAGACGAAAATAGTTTCATCAAAAGCACTAGTAATTTATAGCAATATTTATACGTAGTTTAACACCTGGATGATAATTTTCTCATTTTTTGCTGATAGTACATACACGCTCGAATGAAAAATGTCAAATGAGGTATCTATCGCACTTAAAAGCTTTATCATGTTTATTGAACTGTTGTATGGGGATTTCCCTAATTTCAAATTAGATAAAGTTTGCTTTAATAGTTTTTATTACATTTCATGTTGTATGAGGATTTTACCCAATTCTCAAACTGTGTTAGGGTGAATCCATGCTATAGAAGTGCCATATTATACAGGAGTTACCTATATATCTTATTCTTTGAACTGTAAATTATAGCATTAGAAAAAATGTATCTATAATTACATTTAAATAAACTTTTTTCACAAAAATAAGGAAAAACACAAACTGGAAACAGTTCTCTCCACAAGTAATAACCTTATTTACTTTTCTAGAAAAAATGCTAATGCACAGACAAACATTTGTGTCCAAATTTATTTTATAACCTATAAATTAGGCCAGAAATGTTTGTCTGTGTATTAAAATTTTTGCTGAAAAAGTAAATACGGTTATTACTTGTGAATAAAATGTTTTTATTACAAAATAAAATAAAAATTAAAAATCTTAAAATATACCTGAAATTTGAATATTCCAAATCTGGTCAACATCTTTATTAAGAGAAAATGTTTCTTTGAAATTAAATTCAATAGTTAATTTCAGACATCCATTTACTGGTAACCTATATTTTTGGATTTTGTCATACAATTTAACATTCAGATGGTCAGTAGTATCATATTCTTTAAAATTCCATTTGATATTTAACTACAAATTACAAATATTTATTTTCTTTATGTACTTTTAACGTAAAATTTATTTTATTCATTAAAACATACCTCTGACATAACTTTCTTCTTTAAATCAATTATCTTAATTGAATGATTATTTGTATCAGCTACAAATAATGTCTTATTATCATCAACAAAACACAGGCCACTGGGTTCATAAAATTCAGCTTTTTCAGATTTATCACTTTCTGTATCTGACAACTTTAATGTATAACAATTCTTGGTGATGGAGGAAATTACTTTTATCTGTAATATTATTTCATAAATTTATGTACAGTGTTAAAAATATTAATATTTTAAACTCAAATTTAAAATAATGTAAATCATTTTTAATAACTGAACATAATTTTGCAGACTTTTATAAAAAACTTCTTACTTTATTATTATAAGTATCAGCAACATATAACAGTTTTTCAGAATCGGAATAAGTTATACCCATTGGATGTTGTAATTTAGCATCTATTCCAATTCCATCTTTGTCTCCAAATGCAAATAAATTCTAAATATAAAACAACATTAATATTTATTTTTTAATAAATAAATAAATATCATTAAATTTTATATCTAAATATCATATGTAAGTACCAGAAAATAGGTTGAACTTCAAAATCAAAATATATGGTATACTCTAATACTGTACTTTAAATAATAAATTAGCCTATATAATTAAAATATTTCTTATAGTTAATATTTCAAAATAAATCTTTATAATATATGAGAAAATATCTGTAATAAAAAATTTTAATGAAGTTTATAATACCTTTATTTATTTCTGAACACATTAATTAAAGTCAAGAATTCAATAAAAGCAAAAGAATTTGAAACTGAAATTCTAAAATAAAGAATTTGCTTTGCTTTTTTTTATTTATTCAACTAAGAGCATAAACCAGGGGTGGACAACAGTTTTTGCCCCTGGACCAAATTGGAAAGAAAACTTTTTTCACGGGCCGAACCAGAAGCTGCCCTAGGAAGATTTTCAGGTGGTGCNGTAAGCATGATGTCTATTGGAGAAAGATAGACTTCCCCGTAGAGACTAAATTGTATATAGAGATTACAGATACATTTTTCACATTATCATGCTTTATCAACATTCTATGCTGTACTTACAAGATTTGTAATGGAGGGTTAACTCTAAACGCACAGTAAGTTGTTGACCCTGTTTTTTTTTTATTTTTTATTTTTTAGGCGTTAGAACTTTTCATCGAGCATATTCGGACTTCAGTAGCTAATATTTTATTGGAAGATTGATCGCGGGCCACATAAATTTATTAGACGGGCTGGATCTGCCCCTCGGGCCGTATGTTGGCCATCCCTGGCATAAACTATGTTTCAGATGCTAAAACAAATATCTAAAATTATCCTAATTTTTTTTAATTCTAACATTTTCAGTAAATATCTTCATACAAAATATAGAACTTGCAAACTACAAGAACTTTATATCAAACAATACTAGTATATGTCAAATGACCATTGAGTGTTTTAATATAATAGAAGGAACATATACAGTAGACTCTCCTATATTTGAACTAAGTGGGCAAAGTAATTTGGATATTAAAAAAACTTGGATAAGAAAGAAAGGAAGAGATATATAAAACAAATATTTTTTCTTTTTATCTCTTCCTTTCTTTTTTATCCAAGTTTTTTAATATCCAAATTACTTTGCCCAAATGTAAAGTACTATATATATAGTACTTTACATTTGAAAATATATTTATAACATTATAACAGACACTAATTCAGTAAGTTCTCAAAAGACTAAAGAATAATTGGTTTCTATAAAACAGCCATTTTTTGTTTTTTTTATGTAACTGGAGTTGGATACTTAAATAAAAGAACCAGATACATTTTATATTATCAAATGTTATAGTATCTAGTTTTCATATATACAAGAGAACATATGCTTAAATATGCTCTTTTGATCATATCAAAGGAGGATATTTTCATGCTCTCTTCAAAACTACATGCAACATCTTATATACAAGTTTTACAATGTCAAAAAGCACACTCTTCTTTTCTTGCATGTGACTTTTTCCTGTTTCTTTGACTAAAATATCCATTTTGTGGTCACCATTTTGAGGCAATTGATGCCACAAAACAAAATTTGGTACAAGTTCTAAAAGGTTTCACAAAACAACTTTAAAGAATGTTTTGAGGTTTGGAAAAAAAAACATTGATATAAATCCATTGCAGTGGGAGGGATTACTTTGAAGAGGACAAAATAAATTTTGAGAAATAAATTCAAATCTTGCATTTTATTGAACCATTCTGGACTTTTTGATCATAGGGGTATCATATTCTTATAAAAAACACTTTGAAATTAAAAATAAAAAACTGCTTACTTTCAATTATTTTTATTAATTTAAATAAATAAAATGACATATTCTAAAATTGAACTTACAACAGGATCCATATCACCTCCAACAAATCTTGTTACAGAACCATCTGTAACTGATACACAACGAATGCTTGAACTTTCACTATCTGCAACATATAAAAATTGTTTCTTTTCAACTTGCATTCTAACAATTCCTGATGGTTGAGCAAATCCAGCTTTCATTCTGTATTTATTATTACGATTTTCTTCATTTCCACTACCAGCAAAATTAACACATGTTCCTTTCTGAAAACTATTGTAATAAAATTTAATTTAAACATAAATTGTTTTGTTATCTTACAAAAATGAATATTTTTACCTCTCACCATATAGCATAGCATCTTCTAAAAATATCACCCATATCTGATGAGTTCCAGCCATTGTTATAAATAATAAATCATCCACTTTTTCTAAAAAGAGAAAATAATCAAATAATAGTATCTATTATGAAAAACTTGTTTAAAAAAAAAAAATAATAATAATAATTTACCAATTGAAGATGCTAAACATACATCCCAAGGAGAACTAATTTCTTGCTGAATTCCAATTTTACCACCAATTTTATCATATCCTTGCTTACCTGTCCCTGCAATAGTTTTCACTTTTCTACTCTCTAAATCTATCTAATCAAATTATTCACTAAAATTCTTTAATTGTTAAACAAATGTTAAAATTAAGGAAATAAATATGTCATTAACAAAAAACTAACAACTGTTTACCTGTCTTATAGCATGATTTTCAGTATCAGCAACATAAAGTAATTTTGAATTTTTACATGCAATTCCTTGTGGTGAACAAAATCTTGACTCAGTAAAATTTCCATCAATAAATCCAGATTCCAAGCCTCCTATGATATCCTTTATTTCAAAAATAAAGTTTATAATTAACATTAACTACTGAATTATATCAGGCTATTCTTATTATATTTGTCAACTTGGACTTAAATTATTAATAGGACTGTTAAACTGGTGTTAAGTATTAATGCAAAATTGAGCAAACGTTCTTAAAGAAAACAGACTTTCTTGAAGAAAGTCTGTTTTCTTGAAATAAGGACAATAAGGCAATAATAATTATATCAGGCTATTGTTCGGTTTTGATATATGAGGGGCATCCAGAAAGTACAGAATGTTTGCACATAACACTCACCATCTATTCAAGGTCAATTTATTCTCTGATATGTTAGTTTAGCACATGTAGAGTTTCAATAATGGCAGGCTTATTGTTAATGCTTTGTCAAGGGTTAAAATGTGTATAAAAATCCCACCAAATGTGTTATTAATTTTCTAAATGCAAAGAAAGTCCTATAAGAATCCATAAGCAAATAACGGAAGTGTATGATGATAACATTATGAACAAACTAAGTGTGAGAAAATGGTTTTTAACATTTAATCAAAAAAAATAATGCATGACCATATGCTGCTGCAGCCACTCAAACTGTGCTTCAAAAATTTGGCTAGGATTTTTTTGGCTAGCCATACACTATACAGTCCTGACTTGGCTCCCAGTGACTTTCACCTCTTTCCCAAGGTGAAGGTTTTTGGGTGAGATTGGAATGTTTTAAAACAGATTATGAGGTGAAAGAAATTGTCACTAACTGGCTAAAAAAAAAAAAACTGATGATAGTAGTCTGACAAAGGAATCCAAAAACTAGTATCACGCTACGACAAGTGCTTTAATTGTAATGGTGACTATATTGAAAAGTAACTGGTCTTGTACTAATTACTTAAATGAAATTTTTTCCTATCATTTTTATAGTCAAATGCTCTTTATTTTTTGGATGCTCCTCATATAACTATTGTTTTGGATTTTTATATTTGTATACATTAATTAAACAATAATACCTTATTTACTCTAATAAACAGTGTCCTCTAATAGTAAGCATGATGTCTATTGGAGAAAGATAGACTTATTTTAAACTGAAAAATTACAGTCTATTCAGTATTGTCACCATGGCCCCCCCATCCTACAGCGGGGCCCCTGGACTAGGATCATTGGCGAGCTCTCCTCCCCACTCAAACCCAAGACCTTAGTGGTGTGAGGCGAGGGACCTAACCACTTGTCTCCTGCAACCGCTTTGGGATATGATAAGGCAGCTAAACAACAAAAAATATTATTTTCACTCACAAATTAAACACATATTTACAAAAACATAGATTAGATTTATAAATACAATAGACGAATTATACCGAAAATTTTACAATGACGAACACGACATTAAAAACAAAAACAACATAGGAACCAACAAAAGAACTGAATGACAGAAATTAAAAACAAAGCACATCAACAAGACAAAACCCAAGAAACTATCAATTAAATTATTTCACAGTAAATTTTCTGGCTTTTGCCAAAGCAACCTGCCATAATTGTAAATGGAAAACTTATGATAAAAGTTTTTTCAGCTTTCCTCGTGACTCAGAAAGGTAATTTTATACTTTTATGATTGTTATATTAAGTTAATAATAGTAGCTTAGAATATTAATTAAACTATGCCAAGAATTAAATACAGTAGAACCTCAATTATCCAGACTAATTGGGGATGAAGATAGTCCGGATAAGGAAAAATTCGGATAATCGAAACAAATACTTTAATTTGTCTTTTAATGATAATACAACACATTTTCTTTTCGATGACATATCAGTAATATTAAAAATAAATACTGTATTTAAATCGTGATCAAATTTTCAAGAAACAAACGTTCGTATTGAATTTGGACTACTACTGACCAACGCTAACAGACTACCTATTGTTTAAAAGGCCCTCTGGTGGCGCAAGAAGACGGATTTTATAAAATAAAAAGCAGTTGAAACTGCATTTTTATGAATAAAAATTTGACAAACTATTTATCGTTTTATGACGAGTAAAATTTTTTCGTCGCGTTCGCGGCTTTTAAGTAATGCATAAACCTTCGAGGCGCGAGGCCCTTCGGACCGCGAGGCATAGGCGGTGGCCCACGTCGTCCATGCCTTACGCCGCCCTTGGTCATAGAAATGATGTAATTTGAATATAAATTATTTATAAATACGTATGTCAAGTTATATTTTTATTATGATGCAAAATATATTTAAGAGTTTACGACCACTGTGCCGGGTGAGACATTGTTGAAACAAAAAAAGTTATTCATTTGATAATGTACATAAACAGTATCATAATTCGCCAAGTGCAAATCAGCGAATTCGTAAAATTTTTGTTTATTTTGAACAATCCGGATTATAGAGGTCTGGATAATCGAGGTTCTACTGTATTCTAATTAAATTGAACTCAATATTCCACAAGAAAGTCCAAGCAAATCAAAAAATACAAGCTGGACATCTTCATACTGGGCCCACATGAACCCAGGCCCCCTAACTAGGGTCCGGTCAGTCACTACCATGTGGGGGCCATGATTATTACTCTTACTGTATATTGAAATAAAGTGTGAGGGATGTTGCATTTCTCAAATAATAATAAAGAAAAAAGTTACCAGCTTTATTCCATTAATAGTCACCTCAAATGATCACAACCAATTCTCAAAAAATAATAGTCACCCTCTAACAGTAAATGCTTTCTAATAAAAAGCACAGTTGCAAGCTGAAAAAGTTATAGACAACACACTGTTTATTAGAATAAATACAGTATTTTCATTGGGAGAGCATAATCAAACTAAATGTAAATTGCAAATTTTATGCAATGAACAAGAGAGAACTGAATCTTAATATCTACAATGACATTAATACAAATAAATTATCTCAAAAATATGAAGTATTAATACATTTTAAGAACATAACATTACAAATAAATTTTTTAACAAACTTATAAGTTAAAATAAATTTATATAAAGTTTGCAAATTTTCAAAACAAAGAAAAATCCTTTTATCTTTTTGAATAACAATTTCTAAATAATACTAGGAATGATTGATTAGCTTATACATAAAATTATGCTTGATTAAAAAAGTGAATCAAAATTCCAATCTCAACATTAAAACAGAGATTAGAATATTTTCAGAATCCAAAATTCTCCAAAAAATTATTTTACTATTTGCATTATTTATTGCAAATTTCTTTAAGATAATAATAGTCATACAATTGTTTTAAGAAAAATTATTTAAGAAATGTACCAGTGTTTTTCAAAAAAGTAATGACTTTTTAGAATCTTTCACTGACTTTTTCATTATTGTTGTTTATTTATTTATTTGACAAATGTGACTACTTTAATATATCATTATCTGAATGCAAAGTGTGGAGCTATATCCAACAATGAGAATCACACCACACGACATATTTGCATAGGGTTACAGCCCGGTAATCGCTGATTGGTTGTTCAGCCCGCAGTCCACGGCTATATAAGGTTAATGTGGAAGCCGGAGATTCAAGTTCAGTTTTGGGAACTTCAGGTTGACATCAAGTTTGTCAGAGATCTTCAAGTAAGCCAACAAGCTCATCCCAGTTTGTCCAGGGACATTAAGCCATCCAGAAGCCAACACAAGATTGCTACTAGTCTTCATTACACCAAATCATCACAAGGTGCCTTCTCAACAGACCAGACTAGCATATACAAACTAATTGAACTATCTTACTTTGTTAATGTTATTGGCGGACCGAGTTGGTCATCAATTGATTACATATTGTACCGTTTAAACATCACTTTGATAGTTCACTTTTAACTAGTGTTAGCACCTGATCCAGTTTCGGATACTGCTCAAGCCATTGCTGATCGTCTACCCTTCTCAAGACATCCAAAGACTTCCATCCTTCTTGAGTCATCAAAGCTTCTTCTGAACCACCTGGTAGATCAACAGCATATCGATCCACCGATTCTGAGATTCTGGAAAGGAACAAACTTCTACTAAGATATTTACCAATGTGCAACCGATTTGTGAACTCTCTCTCTTGGTTAGGGACTATAATGGATATCTAAAATTAGCATCTTGCTAAGCATCATAATTAACTATGTACCGAGTTGTAAATAGTATCGATAAATAAATGGGTATTGTGAATTGTAGTAGCATACACTTCTTCCAGTCGTCTCTCAGGCCATCTCCATCTCGAATCTGATTGCCTACAAACAAAATCACTCGTGCAAAAATGTAAAGGTGACCATCAAGTTTTCTTAAAGACACAGCAGTGTCAGTCCTGACAAACATGGTGTCAACCCTTCAGTTCCATGGTGCCGAAGCATAGCGGACACTCTGGCATTGACACAAAAGATGATATTGTATGAAGCTTTTTGAAAAGAAAGATCATCATTATCCTCATACATTAGAACAATTACATATGTATTTAAGCAAGAAACAAAAAAAAATTCTTAATGGAATTGCTACACAAGTTTATATCTTCCTTGTCTCAATGCCTTGCAACTCTTATAAAGTGAAAAGGTGATGTTATTCCAAGGTGAATATAGAATTTTAACACTTTGAATAAAGTTCAAAGAAATGTTTTGAAAAGGCTCTGCAGATTATAAATTACATATTTTATAGTAATATATTTTCTAAAAATCTCAGCTCTTGATATGTTTGTATGATCACTTATCTTCATAATAAATTACTTTTGTTTTTTAGAAAAATAAACATTTATGCATTGCAAAGTACAATTATCTGATTGAACAGAAAGTTCTCGCAATTTTATGTACAGAATTTACTTCAATCATCAATGTAATCATCGTTGTTGTTGACCACTTCCTGCCAATGCTTATGCAAAAAATGGATGCCATCTCGATAAAACTCTGGCAGCTGCAACTTGAAGAAGTTGGTCAGGCTGGCCTCCAAGTCAGCTTCATTGTTGAACTCCTTGCCAGCCAGGTGACAGTCAAGTGTGGTGAACAGGTGGTAATACGAAGATGCAATGTCAGGGCTATACGGTGGGTGGGGTAAGACCTCCCAGTTCAGGTCCAGTAGCTTCTGTCATGTCTGTCTAGCCATATGTGGCTGTGCATTGTTATGCAGCAGGATGGTGTTCTGGTGTTCCAAGAAAGTCTCTGCCAGTTTCTGCTGCAGACATAAAGTTGTTCGCAGTAGAAAGTTGCGTTGATGGTTATATTTTGCAGCAGCAACTCGAACATGTTGATTCCTTTAGAATCCCAGAAGACAGAGAGCAAGATCTTCTTGGGTAAGGGATCTCCACTTTTGAAGCATTTGTACCAATCATATGCAGTTCTTCTGGAGACAGTGTCCAGGCCTAACACAGTATTGATGTCAGTGATAGAATTGGCTGCTTTTTTTTTGGAACAATAGTCATAAATGAGGAGTAGGCGAACTTGCTCTTTGGTTAGCGGATGTTGGTTGGTCATGGTAAAGTAGAGTGAGAGGACTGGATTTGGTATTTTCTTATAGCACATACCCCGACCTGTTTATATACTGTTTATATACTATGGAACATTCTAGAATATTCCAGAGAAAAGTTATTCTAGAAAGTTCCAAAAACTGTGAGAACTTTCTGTTCAATCAGATAATTATTTTAACACCGTAATATGGTTGCTGTCTATTGGTGCTTGTATGTAAATGTCTGTTTAATCCAAAACTTGTTCGGTAGACTAACCAACCCAAAATGCATTTGAAATCCAATTTTTAAAATAAAGATGTTTCTATCCAAAATGCTGTGAGATAGTCTACTGAACAAGTTTTGGATTAAAGAGACATTTACATACAAGAATTATCTTAAGTTTTTATTGGTGAATGAAATTCATTGAAATTGGCCTTATTTATAATAAAAATTTGCTTATTGTAATCAAAAAGTAGTTAACATTAATATTATCTTTCAGAAAACAGATATTTTTAGCTGTTTTTTTTAAACACTACTTATCTGAACTTAATTATGGCATGAAATCATCATCAGTCTTAAGCAGAACTTTTAAACATTACACTACCCAACAAAAAATTTTTTAAATTCTGGCATCCTTTTAAAACAGGTTATTCCTATAGAAAAAAAATTCTCCTAATTTCAAAAATTACCTTTAAATTTTCATATATACACATATCTTTGTATAATGATATGCATAAAGAATATCACTCATGTATCATGAAAATCATTTTGACATGGTTTTGTTTCTTTACTTACACCATTTCAAATATTGGCAGGATGGGAAGCTGCATTTTTTTGGTAGAATCCAAATCATGTTTCAATCCTGCAGGATATCAAAAGTTTCGCACAAAAAGCAGCTGTTCTAAAACTGATTTGCAGTAATTCTATATTATGACATGTGCCTACACTACTCAGCATCTTAGACATTAAAAACATGCAAATGTTTTAAAAGTGTACATAAACTTATCTTTAAAAATGTGGTTTGGATATTGATTTTCTACTAACAAAAATTGAAAAAAAAAAAAAAACCCATTTCTTTATTTAAATCATTTTTATGCTATATTAATATATATTTGTATATAAGTTTTATAACACATGGTAAAATTAAAATAGAATAAAATCAAAACAAATTAAAAGATGCATCATTTCTCTTTTCAGCCGTTAACAAATCAGTGAAGGCAGATTTGTACATCAGCTAACTATATCAACTATACCTGATGTTTCAAATAGAGAAATTACTGCAGTCTATCCAAGAACAGTTGTTATTAAATTCTAAAGATAAATTTAATTTGTATAGTGTAAATGAAAATTTATCTTATTTAAATATCATTTGTCAGAGGATGTAAACAAACTGTTCCAAAACCTAGAAGCAAAGCTCAATTTCAGTTTAAAGCACTTTAAATAATGCATTCAGTTTAGGAATATGAAATATCAGTTTCAAGTTTCAACTGCTTGTTTTACTTCACTGAGTACTTCTTGTGGCATTAATTCCTAATATTAGTGGTGTAACAGCATTTACATTAAATTGGTAAATGCAGATACCTGATATAATGCCTTTCAATATGTGAAAACAATGACATGATGTGACATTTTCTTATTGATTTTTGAAATGTAAGAATTGGAATTGATAAGAAACCACTTTTAATTTTTCAGAGGTAAAAATCATATTAGGTAGCGTTGTCATTTTAATCATTTGCTTGCAATATTATAGTTTAAAATCTGGCATTGTGTTAGCCGTTGTTGAAATGGTTACCGACAAACAATATTGAACAAATTATATTAATTAATAATAATTATAATTAAAAAATCTTCAANCATTTGCTTGCAATATTATAGTTTAAAATCTGGCATTGTGTTAGCCGTTGTTGAAATGGTTACCGACAAACAATATTGAACAAATTATATTAATTAATAATAATTATAATTAAAAAATCTTCAAGTTATCTTTTAAATTTGTTTTAACATGTCCTTTTAATGTTAGAGTCAATAAAACCAGAATTTCCTCTAACTATAACCATATTTACTTGCCCTTTTTAATATTACCAGCCAGTTAATATTACTAGTTTAGGCAAGTTTCAATGGAATCTACTATATTACAAAAATAATAGTAATTAATTTTAATACACATGTAGATTTAGATTTTATTCCATAAAAAACAAACAACATCAAAACTACAAATTTTAACTTTTATTTTGTCTCAAAAAATTTGTTTTTTAGATTAATAAACATTTCAATTTTCCTGTTTCAAAAATTGGAAATAGTTATTACAAGAGCTAGGATATCTAGTCACTAAAACTCATATAAATAGTTGAAAAATAAACAACACCAATATAAATCCAGCAACATTTAATAAAATAAAAACGTTTTCAATCGTTTTTCAACGATCATCATCAGTTACTAAAAATAGAACATTAAATATAGAACAAAATGCATTCGAAATAAATACAAAAATAAAAATTAACGGAAATGATGATCGTTGAAAAACGATTGAAAACGTTTTTATTTTATTAAATGTTGCTGGATTTATATCGGTGTAGTTTATTTTTCAACTTATTCTACTTCCAGTACGTATTGATTATATATCTCATATAAATAGTTATAAAAATCACATAACTTATAATTTATATGACTTTAACTGGGTAGCTGTCCTAGCTCTAGTTATTATATATTTATTTTATGATAATGTTAATTCTTGATTCAATTATCCATTAAATACCCATAATTTCACCAAATTTAATAAATTTGGTGAAATTATGTGTCTGCATTGCAGAAATAAATTCTAACATAAATTATATTTGTGTCAATTNATGTTCTTTATTTCTCAGATGTGACTTTTATTACTCCTTTAGCTGCTTGAGTCTTCTTGATTATAGAGTATTTTTCTTAAATAAGATTGAACTATGGCCTACTGTAGACCTGTTCACGCCATACTGCCCAGCAACATTAGGCATCTTCTGCCCACTTTCTACCTTTGCCATTATACTCTCACCTTTTGAAAAGAAAAAAAAAACAGACGCAAAACTTAACTTGTGCCTACCCGACAGTCTCGCGAATACATAAAAGAATTGTTTTGTCAGAAAAATAAAAGGCTGGAATTACAAGGGAGAGTTTCAAAGTTCGGAGGAATACTATCCGATTGGTATATACCGGCTTGAGCGTCGATGTCGACATCTCCCACACTCCGAAAAGTTTCGAATTGTTGCCTGAAGACAAGAGAAGACCAATCGGTATTCATTATTTTATGTCGCCTCTTCTTGTGTTCGTTCTGTGCAGTGTTCGTTATCCGATCATGTGTTCGTTGTCCGAACATAAAAATCTTTCGCGAAAGTGTTCGTTATCCGATTTGTTCGTTATCCGATTTGTTTGTTATCCGATCTGTTCGTTAATCGATCACCCACTGTATTTCATAATTCAAGTTGCTGACTTGAGACTCTGTAAGTATTATTTTGGTAAATATAATTCCTAAAATGGCTCTTTACAAAAAAAACAGGTTGCTGACCCCTAGCGTAAGCAATAGCGAGAAGTTCAGTGCTGGGGTGGGGTGAGTTCCACATCCCCTGAAACTATATAACATCAACTACTCCACGAACAGTCAAGTGGACTATATAATTAAACGCTATAGTCTTGGAAGTACCGCTATTGGGGGCTACCTAGATGAACTTCTACCTAAAAACATTAAAAATAAGGAAACTAGATCAAAGTTTGGGTGTGTCTGGCAAACAGAACTGACATCGTCAAATCTTCGGAGATAAACATCTCATAAAGGGACAGATCGGAGGAGAAAGGCCACATGGCTAAATAAAACCTCCACCTCCACGTGAACAGTCCAAAGAGAGAGATAGAGGAAGAATCCCGCGAAAGGTCACGTGAGGATCATGATCAATTCTCGATCTTATAGAAGTATCGAGGAATTTCCCGGTTCATTCGGACCTAGAAAAGTAATGTACGGACGAAACAAGTAACAAATTTTAGCTTCTAACTTAGTAATTATTATTTTCTCCACAATTTAACGCAGAGTAAAAACTTACCTAATCCAAAATCCGGAATTTTCAACGAATCGTCGCTTGTTATCTTTTCTATATAATTAAATATACTTTCCTTCTTACTTTCTACATCATTGCAATCACACAGAGCTTCTTCTAGCTCCGACTGATAATATAAAAGTTTATTTAATCCAAAACTTTCAACTTCCGAATCATCCGCCATTATATTTGACTACCTCTGGTGAGCATGAATTTTATTCAAAATAAACTAAGAAATCAGCTGAACAGTGTGAGTCTGACCTGTAGATTATTATGGATAATTCATATATATGGTAGAGTCCTGCTAGTCCGAACTAATTGGGACCAAGTCCTCTTCAGATTAGCCGAATAATTGAAATAATGCAGAAGCAAGCAGTAAAACAAGCCCAGTTTATATAGATCCAACACCATCAACGACTTTTGTTTCTGTTTTTTGTGTGTAAGTACTGTATAGATCTGTTGTTTTAATAGGCCATATCAAATACTGATTTATTATTAATTTTGTACAGTATTAAATACAGTACTATAATAAAATACAATTTTTTTGTAGTGGAATTCTAAATCTTTTTGTATCATTAATACCATTTAAATTCAACTAGAAAATACAAAAACGTATATTTTGCAAGCTAAAAAATTTCCTCTCCAATGACTGAAACACGTTTGGATTAGCAGTGTTTGTACTAGCAGGACTCTATTGTAATTAATAGATTTGATAGATAATTTGCAAATAAAATATCATGGAAAAAATATATGTTTTGTTAAAGTTAGTAGGAAGACAATTGTTTTATTTCTTTTTGGGATTTAAGAGCATTAAAATTCCATAAACAATGTTTTTTATGCTCCATAGGATTATAAAGAAATAAAGACATCTAACTTATAAAGAAATTAGATGTTGTGATTATAAAGAAATTAGAAAAATCTAATAAGAATACGAGCAATTATTTATTGTGACACTGTCATAATGCCAGGCTGCAATTTTTAATCATATTTTTAATTTATTTAATTTAATGCTCTACACTAATTTAATTTAATTACATGTTCTCCACCTTAAATTAGTAGTGTCTTGCACCTGTACATCACATTTCTCATGCTAAAGTCATGCCCATCATTAGTGTTACCACCCGTCCGGTTTTCACCCAGACAGTCCAGGAATTAACTCACTGTCCGAATGAACTATTAATTTTGTCCGAGAACTTCGTAGAAATTGTGAAATTACGATGAAACAAAAGTTCTTGCAAATATTTTTACAAATATACACTATTTTAACACTGAAACTCATCTGCAATTCTGCCATATTAATCTGTTTATGCCAACATGTGGCATGCACCTGTCAACCTTTTTTTTTTCTTTTTGCATGTACAATCGTACATGTCTCCAATATCCAATATAGCTAAGTCATCTGTACACGTTCTTTCTTAATTTAGTGTTACTTACATTACTCCTATGCAAGTCCTAGTCCCTAACTGTAACTGATTTAAAACCGGCATGCATGTTATTCTTTGCATTGTAAAATGACATTGCGCATGCGTCAGGAACTTCTGTTCGAGCAAACCTGACCTGCCATCCGGATCAGTGATTTTGAAAAGGTGGCAACACTACCCATCATGTATCTAATTCCTTTCAAGTGAAAATTTTAAACTGAAATAATGTGACTTCTGGTATGTACAGGAAGTTCTTATATAGTTAATCAGGCCTGCCCCTAAGCTTTCCATATCTGGTTTTGGCTTTCATCTATCTAACTGCTCTCAAGATTAAGGATAATACTCCAATAAAAATTTACATTTCTTACCTACGATAATTAATGTTGGCCAGCAATAAATTTGCAATTTATTCCATAAAATTCCTTGAGGATCATTGACAACTGGATGATGAATTTGATATCGTTGAATAGCTTCCATTACATTTTTCAAATATCTTTCATTGTCAAATTTAGCTGAATGAACACCAACAACAACTAAACCACTAGTAATTGAAATTTCTTCTTCTAAAGCAAAAAGATCAGGAAGGATATGCATGCAATTAATGCAACAATATGTAAAAAAGTCCAAAACTATAATTTTTCCTTTTAAATCTTCTTTCACAGATAATGGTTTCTCTGTATTAATCCATTCATGATCTATTTGTAATATATAAATATAAATATTATTACAATAAATTTGTTTTTAGTATTGTAAAAAAATAAACTAAAATAATAATAAAATTATTGTTGAAAGTATCATACTCAAACATATCACTTAAATTTTCATAATTCAAATATTCAAAACCACTTATTTATAGACATAGATGTAAATTAAACTACAATCATTTACATCTGGATTATATAAATTTGGTTTACACTAATAATAATAAAAACTACTGGAGTTTGAAGGTTATGCTTTATTTAAGACCATTATAGAAACAACGTTTTTGCCTATAAAATAAATTTCCTGTAATTCATCTATAGGAATTTATTTTATAAGAGTTTACAGGTATTTATTTTTAACTAACTTATTTTAATGGTTAGCATAGATTTTTTTAAAATTATGCTAGAAGTTTATGTAGAATTTTTCCTAAAGAAGTATAGACAATTTAAATTTTTCAATAACAGATTGTATTTGGTTACATGATTCACATATTTTGACAAGTACAAAAATTATAGATATAATTAGTATTACATTAGCATTTGTTTCATAAAAGGTAAAACTTTTATAAGTGGAGATTTTCACAATTTGTTAAATCATCATCAAACATGAGCAATTTCTTACATCCTTTTGGAAAAAATTCCTACCAAAATTTTTAGCATAATTTTTGATATGCATTAAGACAATCCTTATCTTGAGTGAGGTCATAAATGAATTACAGAAAATTTTACTTATAAATAGAAATAGGTAAAATTGCACTTAGATAGACCTTACATTACATTACATTACAGCACAAATGTCAGTTTTTAACACGTATCAATCTACTGCCTATTCTACATGCCTCACATGTTGACGTGCACCTTGGTGTAAGCCAGCGGTCGACAACCTGTGGCTCTTTTAATGCATAACTGAGGCTAGTGTTACCACCCATCTGGTTTTCACCCAGATAGTCCAGGAATTGACTCACTGTCTGGGTGAACTATTAATTTTGTCCGGAAATTTTGTAGAAATTGTGAAATTACGATGAAACAAACTTCTTGAAAATATTTTTACAAATTTACACTATTTTAACAGCGAAAGAACTCACACTCACTGAAACTCGTCTGCAATTCTGCCATGTTAGTCTGTTTACGCCGACATGTGGCACGCAACCTATCAACTTTTTTTTTTATTTTTTTGCATGTACAACCATATACGTTTCCAATATCCAATAGAGCTAAGTCATCTGTACCTGTTCTTTCTTAATTTAAGGTTACTTACATTACTCCTACGCAAGTCCCTAGTCCCTAACTGTAACTGATTTAGAACCGGCATGCACATTATTCTTCACATTGTAAAATGACATTGCGCATGCATCAGGAACTCCTGTTCAAACAAACTTGACCTGCTGTCTGGGTCAGCGATTTTGAAAAGGTGGCAACACTAATTGAGGCTGTTTTTAAATTAGTAAATAACATACATATAACAAAATGAAATTTTTAATTTAAGTGAAAAGAAAAGATAACTCATAAATGCCACTAATATTTTTTAAAAGACTTTCTAATTTCAATAATCTCTTATCATTTCACTGTCAGAGTAAGAATATTATACATATAAAAGCATTTATAAAGAACAGAACATCTGGTTGCAATTATCAAGTCTTAGATGGCACAGAGTGTAAAAATTAGACTATGCTCATGAGAAATGTTTATTGTACTGTAAATAGAAAGGTTTCCTTACTTTTATGACTGAAAAAACAGATGTTGTTTGTCCCTAGAATTTATGACTCTGTTTTTATTTTGAATGATTCTAGAATTTCTCACTTACAGTGTTGCTCTTGTGTTGGCAAGTGGTCTGTAAGTTTTCTGCTTTTAGTTTTGTACGCTCTATTGGATATGTTTTATATAGAAGTTATTCTACTGTTTTATCAAGTAAGTTTATTATAATTATATTATTTCTGGAGCATATTATCTATTTGTTTTCTTGCACATAAGATATAAAAAAAAAAACCAGGTTTTTACATAATTTTTCTTATTAGTTAGATTGGTAGAAAATCGCTATTCTACTTTTTCTAATTAATATGGCTGGAAAAAAGAGAAAAGTAGAGGAAAATTGAGAATTTAGAAGTGAATGGACTGAATCCTATGCAGTTGTTTCAAATTTAACAGGATTCCCAGTGTGTTTAATATGAAAGTGTCAAGAAAAGTTTTATAATAACAAAAAATCAAATGTACAAAGGAATTTTTTAAACAAACATAAAGCATTTGCAAACACTTATCAAAAGAGAGAAGAAAGAAGAAAGGCAATAGAAGAAGTTTAATGTAAAATGAACTTAAGTAAAGGTACATTTTCAAATTGGATAAAATCAAGTAACAATACAACTACTGCTAGTTTTGTTGCCTCTCTAGAAATAGTCAAACAGGGAAAGTCATTTATGGATGGCAATTTTGTGAAACATTGTTTTATTAAAATGTCTGAGTATCTTTTTTGCAATTTTAAAAATAAAACGGAAATAATTCCTAAATTAAAATACATGCCATTGTCCACTAAAACTGTAAGAGACAGAACTATTTTGTATGGCAGAAGATGTAACTAGTCAGCAGATTACAAATTTAAGTTCAACACCAGGATTTTCTATTGCCTGTGATGAATCTTGCCATGCAAATGATATTGCACAGGTTGTAGTTATTTGTAGATATGTTAACTCTGACGAAACTCAGGAAGAGTTACTTGATATACTGCCACTTACTGGACAAACTCGAGGTGAGGATATAGAATCTGCTGTTACCAATTGTTTGAAAAGTAAAAATATTGATATTAATAAAATAGTATCAATTGCAACTGATGGAGCATCAAAGTATGAAAGTACACAAGTATGAAAGCTGAAAAGAAAGGTTTTGTTTCTATTTTTAAAAAACAAATTTTGCATGACATTTTTTCTTTTCACCTCATAATCCATCAAGAGGTACTTTGTTCGCAAACTTTTCTGAAGGAAATAACATTAGTTATGGACCTGGTTGTACAAATTGTGAACAAAATAATGGCAAGACCATTATATCAGCAGCAATTTTGTGAACTTCTTAACGAAGTCAATAGCCAATATTCTGTTCTTTTTCTTTACACAATAAAGTAAGGTGGCTTTCCAGAGAAGCAGTGTTAATACAATTTGCTGCTTGCATTAAAGAAATAAAATTATTTTTAAAGCAAAAAGATCTTGAATATGTTGAGCTCAATAATCACGATTGGTTACAAAAATTTTATTTTATGGTGGACATGACCTCACATTTAAACACACTAAACAAGAAACTGCAAGGGAAGAAAAATACTGCTATTTTGCTTTTAGAAGATGTACTTGCTTTTGAACAAAAATTATGTTTATTTATTGCAGACTTAGAGAAATACAACAGGATTTAGCACATTGCTACATTTTCCTATGTTGAAGAAATATCAACAGGATCATACTTCAAAAGATTTAACATATTTTGCACAAATAGTGATAAATATGAAATTGAGATTTGGTAAGAGATTTAAAGAGTTTAGAAAGGAAAAGGCAACCTTATCATTTTTATTAAGACTACTTGAAATCAATTCTACAGATTTGAATATTTTGCCTTTTAGTGATATTGATCAAGCAGTTTTTCAACTAGAACTAGCAGATTTAAAAATCAAGGAAATGTGGAGTTCAAAATTTGTAAATCTTACACAAAACAACTTCTAATCTTAACACTGTGTTGAGTATTAACAAGATTTGTTCCGTCAACAGGATCCGCAGTGACAACTGGTGGCTCCTCATATGGAAAACCAGGAAATGGCTGGCGGATGAGCACATCATAGTCCTCAAAGCAGATAAAAAAAAATCTCTTGTTCTATTAAAGGAAGCCATCTACAGGTCTCTCATGCAACAGTATATTGACAACATGGACTGCGAGCCCATCGAAAGCAGTTACATAGACAAGCTACAGTCTAGAGTTTCTAGATTCACCCGCATTTACTTTGCCATGAAACGGGGGTTGGGCAAAGCAGTCATTGCCTCTCCCGACCAAGATTGTTCGCGTTTGCCAAAATGCACAAACCAACCCCTTCACTTAGGCCTGTCCTGGATAAAGCTAGGTCCCCAATGAGGTTGCTTGAGAAGGCCATTCACAACATTGCCACTGAATGTTTGAAGGGTTATAGGTTTTCTACCACCAATTCTGCTGCTTTTATTGAGTTGTTATGACAGGTCGAGGTGGGTGATGACCCACACTTCACGGTCTTCGATTTCATGTCCCTTTTCCTATCGATACAACTGCAGCCATGCTTCTGTGCCCTTAAGGACCTTCTACTTCGTGAGAATGTTGCACTCCAGCACCATCAGCAGATATAAGAGCTGGCATATCTAATGTGCTACACCTCGGTTTTCCAGTTCAACAACATTACTTACTTACAAAGACGGGATGTGCCCATGGGCAGCCCACTATCGGAGGACAGTTGGTAAAACAGTTGGAGGAGAGAGTATTTCCCAAATTCTTACCATACATCAGTCTATACCAAAGATACATGGACAACATCTTTATATTTTGGAAAACCACTACTATTATTAATATACGAAGAAGTGGGATGGGGTTGGATCGTCTTCCTTTGTTTGTTTGTCACACCGAATCTCTACAAGTTTTTGTCATGCATGAATGACAATGCTTACGGCCTCACCCTTGGCTTAGATCAAGTTAGCAATTCTAGATGTTGACATACGTCTCAGGGGTGGCGAGATAGAAACAAGAATTTATCGTAAACCAGACCAGCTTCCACTTTTCATCTCCACGAACTCGTCCGACCCCTTTGCCTACAAAATTGTGGCCTTCCGTGCCCTAACCAGATGGACCTTCACGCATCACACAAACGCTTGCAACACCTGGTTAGAGCTTCGCCACATAGAAAAAATTGCGGTTGAGCATGGCTACAGTAAAGGCATGATTCGCGGTTTAGCCCGTGCCTGTGCCAACCGTCCCCCACGCCGCAGTGCAGCCTCCTGCCTACACCGGACAGCAGCCACCAACCCGTTAAGAACGATAGATGTGTGGTTGTTTAACCAACATTTAGACCCCCTACACAGGGAGATTGCTTGCCATAATCACACGAAGATCGCGTACAGAAGAACTGGCACTATTTAAACCTGCTGCACAATGCCAAGGACACGATAGATCTCAACAGGGCCCCAGGGGTATACTCCATTCCCATCAGGGACGATAGATTCCGTAGAGACTTAGTTTACATTGGCTCCACCATCCACTCAACACAAAAACAGTTACGTGAGCATCAATCAGATATTAAAAACAACAGGCACACCACTGCCTTGTCGGCCTATGCTACCGACCCTGAAATTCGGGCGGACTTCCAAAACACCAAAGTAATCAGACAGGTGTTTTGTATTGATCACATCCATCACCTGAAGGCCTGGGAGATTTATAAAGCCAACATTGGGGGCACCTGCATCAACTTTAAAGACAGAGGACGATCGCTCAGGCATGGAGATACTTATTTGAAGAATTCGAACTGAGACAAGCAAAGGGGTGAAATGCGATACACACATTATTTACATCTTGGGCGTCATTGTTTCAATGGTCAAGAGGAGACACCGTTTAGTCACCATCTGAAGAAGACCTCGATGGAGGTCGAAAACATAAGTGAAGATTGTTACCAACAGTGTTATAAAAAGGTTTTGTGGATTGTTATTTGTAAATCTTAAAAACAAATTAGAAAATTTAGAGACAGAAATCTACTTTTGCTGCACAGCATAANTTTAGTCACCATCTGAAGAAGACCTCGATGGAGGTCGAAAACATAAGTGAAGATTGTTACCAACAGTGTTATAAAAAGGTTTTGTGGATTGTTATTTGTAAATCTTAAAAACAAATTAGAAAATTTAGAGACAGAAATCTACTTTTGCTGCACAGCATAAATGGTCTGAGAAAAAAAATCTTAAAAAGCAAGATCAAGTTGTTTTTGATACTTGGAACAGTTTGCCTGATACTTACATTCAATTAAAAACATATGCATTTGGACTTCTATCAATTTTCAAATTGACATATTTTAGTGAACAGACATTTTTGAGCATGAATTTTATTCAAAATAAACTAAGAAATCAGCTGAACAGTGTGAGTCTGACGTCTTGTTTCAAAATAAAAGTAGTCATATTTACCAAATTTTTCTCAAGAAATACAGCAACAAAATTCTCATTAGAAACCATATATTGTTCTTATTTTTTATGAAGTACCCTATTTTAACATTTTTATTCATGCAAGTTAAATATATTATAAAATACCTGAAATTCTCAGCATACTGTTTGACCAAAGAAAAATGTTAATTTATATGTAAGAATGTTTAAAATCACTTATTTTTTACTTTAATTAATAATAATATTTTATAATTATAATTATGGCTATTGTAACATTGATGATAAATAATTGAATTGCAGTGTATTCTATTACAGCACATTTAAGCAAAGCACAAATAAACTCATAAACTCAACTTTTTAGGTTCAGTTTTCAAAAATCTATATTTCATATTTCAAGTTGCTGACTTGCAGCTGTATTATTTTGGTAAATATAATTCTAAAAATGGCTCTTTATGAAAAAAAAGCATCCCTGACTTAGCCAATCATTTTGTAGACTGTACTTAGACGACGAAGAGAACATTGTCCCATTCATTCAAAGTTTAATGTCAATGTTTTTGGCACCATTTTAAATTGGCTTTTCTGTGCACAGGAGTCAATGGAACACAATGTACTTGGCATAAGGCAAAAATACCATTTGCTTGAAGATTCCTGTAAATAGTTTGTTGTTAATATCAGTTGCCATAGTAGTAACTATCTGGTATATATGGTAAACATGTCTACCAGATATTTTTTGTTACATGCTATTAATGTTAAATATTGGTCCTGTTTATAGGCAGTAACTCTTAGACATTTACTTCCTGGTTGACATTCAGCAATTGCTCTTTGAAATCTGGCCGAAAGTCTAAATAAGACACTGCAATACATTCAGAGCCTTGGGTACATCTGTTCTTGAGTGGCTTGCTCCTAGTCTTCCAATAATTATTTTTTTCATAAAATTGTCTGTGAGAAACCAGGTGGTAAAGAGAGAGTCAAACTCAAGACCTCTTTTAATGGTGATGGTCTGCTGAAGACTGCTCATGTTGTCACTTGGATGGCTAGGAGGACAAAACGTCAAGTAGGGAGATCGCATTGAGTAAGTCAATAGGGCATTGGCGATACATGAGTGAGAGCAACCATTTTAAAATTCAACAAGTTTAATAGAAAAATAAAATATAAGATACAATATACAAGCAACGGATACAATTATAGTTATGCATTACTACCACTACAGGTCAATGACGTAGACTACAGGCATTTATAATTATTACTAATGGCCCTAACTCGTATGCTAAATGATTGAGAGAGAGAGTTTACCATCGAGAGTATAATACCTTGATACTTGGTTTCTGGATCCTGTTCATTCGATGTTGGTAAGATGATCANTATTATACTCTCACCTTTTGAAAAGAAAAAAAAAACAGACGCAAAACTTAACTTGTGCCTACCCGACAGTCTCGCGAATACATAAAAGAATTGTTTTGTCAGAAAAATAAAAGGCTGGAATTACAAGGGAGAGTTTCAAAGTTCGGAGGAATACTATCCGATTGGTATATACCGGCTTGAGCGTCGATGTCGACATCTCCCACACTCCGAAAAGTTTCGAATTGTTGCCTGAAGACAAGAGAAGACCAATCGGTATTCATTATTTTATGTCGCCTCTTCTTGTGTTCGTTCTGTGCAGTGTTCGTTATCCGATCATGTGTTCGTTGTCCGAACATAAAAATCCATCGCGAAAGTGTTCGTTATCCGATTTGTTCGTTATCCGATTTGTTTGTTATCCGATCTGTTCGTTAATCGATCACCCACTGTATTTCATAATTCAAGTTGCTGACTTGAGACTCTGTAAGTATTATTTTGGTAAATATAATTCCTAAAATGGCTCTTTACAAAAAAAACAGGTTGCTGACCCCTAGCGTAAGCAATAGCGAGAAGTTCAGTGCTGGGGTGGGGTGAGTTCCACATCCCCTGAAACTATATAACATCAACTACTCCACGAACAGTCAAGTGGACTATATAATTAAACGCTATAGTCTTGGAAGTACCGCTATTGGGGGCTACCTAGATGAACTTCTACCTAAAAACATTAAAAATAAGGAAACTAGATCAAAGTTTGGGTGTGTCTGGCAAACAGAACTGACATCGTCAAATCTTCGGAGATAAACATCTCATAAAGGGACAGATCGGAGGAGAAAGGCCACATGGCTAAATAAAACCTCCACCTCCACGTGAACAGTCCAAAGAGAGAGATAGAGGAAGAATCCCGCGAAAGGTCACGTGAGGATCATGATCAATTCTCGATCTTATAGAAGTATCGAGGAATTTCCCGGTTCATTCGGACCTAGAAAAGTAATGTACGGACGAAACAAGTAACAAATTTTAGCTTCTAACTTAGTAATTATTATTTTCTCCACAATTTAACGCAGAGTAAAAACTTACCTAATCCAAAATCCGGAATTTTCAACGAATCGTCGCTTGTTATCTTTTCTATATAATTAAATATACTTTCCTTCTTACTTTCTACATCATTGCAATCACACAGAGCTTCTTCTAGCTCCGACTGATAATATAAAAGTTTATTTAATCCAAAACTTTCAACTTCCGAATCATCCGCCATTATATTTGACTACCTCTGGTGTAAAAAATATATGATACTTATTTGAAGAATTCGAACTGAGACAAGCAAAGGGGCGAAATGCGATACACACATTATTTACATCTTGGGCGTCATTGTTTCAATGGTCAAGAGGAGACACCATTTAGTCACCATCTGAAGAAGACCTCGATGGAGGTCGAAAACATAAGTGAAGATTGTTACCAACAGTGTTATAAAAAGGTTTTGTGGATTGTTATTTGTAAATCTTAAAAACAAATTAGAAAATTTAGAGACAGAAATCTACTTTTGCTGCACAGCATAAATGGTCTGAGAAAAAAAATCTTAAAAAGCAAGATCAAATTTTTTTGATACTTGAAACAGTTTGCCTGATACTTACATTCAATTAAAAACATATGCATTTGGACTTCTATCAATTTTCAAATTGACATATTTTAGTGAACAGACATTTTTGAGCATGAATTTTATTCAAAATAAACTAAGAAATCAGCTGAACAGTGTGAGTCTGACGTCTTGTTTCAAAATAAAAGTAGTCATATTTACCAAATTTTTCTCAAGAAATACAGCAACAAAATTCTCATTAGAAACCATATATTGTTCTTATTTTTTATGAAGTACCCTATTTTAACATTTTTATTCATGCAAGTTAAATATATTATAAAATACCTGAAATTCTCAGCATACTGTTTGACCAAAGAAAAATGTTAATTTATATACGTGGTCTGTTCAAAAAGTATCGGACCTTTTTTTTTTCCGCGTAAACCAATGATGCGCGAGAGGCCTCCTTCGGTGGAGTTGTGGAAAGGATAGTCATTCACAGCCCTGAATTTTTCCCGCCTGCAGGAAGCATCAGTCGAGGTCATGTAGTGCACTCTCGTCGGATTCCACTAAGCTGGAAAATGACTGAACAACATGAGCAGCAATATTACATCAAATTTTGCCAAAACCTTGGCGATACCCGAGCGTAAACCATTCGCAAGATTCAGCAGGCTTTCAGGGACGATCCTCGAGGCCAAAAAAAGTGCGGCAGGTCTGCAGCAATATCAAAGGTCATGTTGACAGTTTTTTCGACTCTCGTGGTGTGGTGTGTCATGAGTACGCACCACAAGGCCAAACCATCGCAAAGGAGTACTACCAGGAGGTCCTTCGTCGTCTTTCCGATACAGTGCGACGCAAACGACCGGATCTGTGGTCGATCAAAACTTGGCAGCTCCATCGTGATAACGCATCCGCCCATTCTGCGCATCTGATTCGG